ATCAGTTCTCCCCCGACCTGCAACGTCAAGTCTCCTCAAGGCTGTGTGGTGGAGCGGCCTCCGAGCAGCAGCCAGCAGCTGGCTCCGTGTAGCATGGCTGCTAACTTCACCCCGCCGATGCAGCTGGCTGAGATCCCTGAGACTGGCAATGCCAATATTGGCTTATATGAACGGATGGGTCAAAGTGACTTTGGGGCTGGGCATTACCCACAGCCATCAGCCACCTTCAGCCTTGCCAAACTACAGCAGTTAACTAATACACTTATTGATCATTCATTGCCTTACAGCCATTCCGCTGCTGTAACTTCCTATGCAAACAGTGCCTCTTTGTCCACACCATTAAGTAACACAGGGCTTGTTCAGCTTTCCCAGTCTCCACACTCTGTCCCTGGGGGACCCCAAGCACAAGCTACCATGACCCCACCCCCCAACCTGACTCCTCCTCCAATGAATCTGCCACCGCCTCTTTTGCAACGAAACATGGCTGCATCAAATATTGGTATCTCCCACAGCCAAAGACTGCAAACCCAGATTGCCAGCAAGGGCCACGTCTCCATGAGAACCAAATCGGCATCTCTGTCACCAGCCGCTGCCACCCATCAGTCGCAAATCTATGGGCGCTCCCAGACCGTAGCCATGCAGGGTCCTGCACGGACTTTAACAATGCAAAGAGGCATGAACATGAGTGTGAACCTGATGCCCGCCCCAGCCTACAATGTCAACTCTGTCAACATGAACATGAACACTCTCAATGCCATGAATGGGTACAGCATGTCCCAGCCAATGATGAACAGTGGCTACCACAGCAATCATGGCTACATGAATCAAACGCCCCAATACCCTATGCAGATGCAGATGGGCATGATGGGAACCCAGCCATATGCCCAGCAGCCAATGCAGACCCCGCCCCATGGTAACATGATGTACACGGCCCCTGGGCATCACGGCTACATGAACACAGGCATGTCCAAACAATCTCTCAATGGGTCCTACATGAGAAGGTAGGCAACCTGGGCAGTCACAAAACCCCTGGGCATCACTCTTGGATTGATCTGCACAAATACCTTCGAAGAGTACGATTTCAAAACCAGCAATTGGTGTGAATGCAAAAACATTTGTTGGCACCATTTATTTAAAAAAAAAAAAAAAGCTGTATGCAGCAGAAAGCCTTATACAAGTTGTTTTTCTTTTTTTCCTTTTTCTTTTTTGGTACTTTTGTTTCTGTTACTTTTATATGAAATTCTCTGCAAAGGAAGGCCTCTCTGGACTACAATTTGGAGGCAGCCACTTGTCGTGCCTGCTTCCGTTAAACAATGTGGATATCAAGCCCCACCCCCCAAATTATCTGTTTTAATACTGAACCTAGAGCTTTTTTTCTTCCCTGTCCACTCCATGTAAATGCCTTTAGCATTTCAGTTATTGTATATTTTGTTTAAGGTGACACTTCAGCATGCCGCTAATGTCTTTGTTAGTGACAGTGCATTTTGTAGTACTGTACAAGTGTTGTGCTAACGGTAAGCCATTTCTTAAGTTTTTTGCCTTGATTAGGGTGCCCTAATTTGAGGGTTTAAAAAAAACTATATTTTTGTTAATTATAAAACTGTAAAGAGCTATAAAAGCTATTCCCGTTTGGTTAGTCAAAAGGGTTTTATTGCTAAATGTTTGGTGTAAAGTTGAGACCCTTTTCCATTTTGGTGACAGATTTCTTTGGGGAAAAAAGGCAGCTTTCTGTTTTATAAATGCAGACTTCTGTTTATTGAATGAAGCATATCTCAGTGTTTATCTGTCAGGTTTTGAAACATTTCATATATGTCCAAATACTTGGCAGGATTTAAAAAAAATAGTGAATTTGGTGTAAAGTTGCTATTTTATGGAAATGCCTCTAACTTTACATTTTCATTCCATCTGTAGATTTTTCTATCTTTATAAAATATTGGAGTTATTTTTTAAGGAAAAATAGAGAAGTAGCTTGTGAATAGCTCAAACTAAGCTTACAAATCGCATGTAAAAAAGCAAAAAAGTTATTTGTGTCTGTTTATATTGCTTCCTTTTTGTAGCCTTTGTACCTGTACAGGGTGACTGTAAGGGCCAAGGAGGAGAGGCGAAATCCTTGTATAAAATAGGAGCCAGCGACACTCTTGTATTTATCTGTTCTCTTTTTAGTCAGTCACTTCAAAAAAAAAACAAAACAAAACAAAAAAAAAGCTGTACATTTTAACATAAAATAAATTATGATGAGCCATTTTTAGCCTCTTGTGTCCTGTCATATTATGATTGATAGAGAATGACCAATTGAACTGTATCATGTGTCACATCTCAGAACACATACACATTTTGGGAAAATAAATTATTTAGTGTAAATTGGAGTTATGAGGTTTTCTGATTTGTTTTGACTTTGGGGGAGAGGGTTGGCAATAAATAAGAGTAATATCTTATAAAACCATCACATATACCAAATACCTATTTAATAAATTAATTTATAATGGATTTTAATGCTTTTCATGAAAGTTTATTTTATGCTAGTGCATACCTTCTGTATGCCAATCATTGTCTTTAAAATAAAGTGAATTTGTTTTTTTCTTTTTGACTTTGATCTTCATTTGCAAAGGGATCCTGCACAGATATCCATTTGCCTCATTTGTTCAGTCTGTAGAAACTCCCCTCCGGGCCTAGTGCAGCAGTAGCAAATTTCATTTTTATAAACATTAATACAAAAAAGCACCCAATTTGGGGTTGTATGTTTGAAAAATCATTTTCTTAAAAAAGGTGTGCAAGTTTTGCTCTGTTGTGAATGAGTGATTGGATGTGTTCTTTAGAATCTAAAGTTTAGACCAAAAAGAAAAATGTCAGTGTTCACAAACATGGAATTCAGAGAAAGTTCTGACTGTTAAAACATTTGATTATTCCAGTGGCAAGCCTAGAAATGAATGTTTGACTTGGCACCCATGTGAAACTGGCCCGTTAAGCTATCAGTTTCTAAACGTGGGTGCTCACAATTCGCCAGAGCAGCTGGTCACTACTTTCAAACTCTTGGAGGAAGAGCATTGCTTTTCCACCAGTGGTTCAACACAAAAAATCAGATGTTGTACTGATCATAGACACAAGCTTTTGAGGAGACAGAATAGAACTCTGAAGAGGCAGAATGGAGCATAGACCCCGGAGTCACAGGCCCCAACAGAGGGCCCCCAGTGATGGTTCGCCTTGTGCCCTCACCCTTAGTATTTTTTTCTCTCGCAGTTAGGAAGAGTAACTTCTTTAGTGTCAAGATGTTATCTTTTGGTCCCTTCCTTCCACAACTGCACAGTCAGTGGGGGAAAATCTATAGTGGCTGATGGAGGGCTTCGAAGAAGACGCTTCTCCAAGGCCTGTCCTCAAAAAGGGGAGAAGAGAACCTTTACGTTGCTGTGCTGGTAGGAAAGGAAGCTTCTAACCTCCCTTCAGAGTGAGAGGCAACGGTTTGCTGCTTGTTTGAAGCACCGCTGCATCAGTCCAGGAGCAGCCAAGGAGCTTAGCAGCCCAGGGGGTCCACACATCAGGGAAGAGGCTGCCCGAGCCTGGGAGGTGAGGTGGGGTCCTGCTAACAAGCTGATTGGAAGATACGCAGAACCTCCCACTGGCCTCACCTTGAAACGTTCAGATATTTGGTCTCTTTCCTCTTGTGTTAAGGTTCTTTGGGGACTGAGATGCCCCTCTGTGTTCCGTTTTGGCAGTAGCTTGATAACCACACCCTACGGTCAGTGTGATACCGGGACTCCACCCCCACACCCTGACTGCCCCGCAGTCCTCCAGGGAGTTTGTGGATAAGGCACTACCCCAGACCTGCTAGACCAGAATCTCAGAACAGTACTGGCAACTCCTTGTGTTTCACAGGCTCCCTAAGGACTGCAGCGTAGCCAGGTACCAGAGCCCTTCTGCTGGCCCCAAGTCACAGCATTCATTGACAGACAGAAAGGCTTAGCATATGAGAGAAATTTGCTGAGCTGAGGTGGCCTCAGAACAGCCCGCACGGTCTCCTCACCTGCTGTCACTAGAGAAATCAATTCAGACCTAAATGGGACACTGAGGGTCCTGGAAAACAGGAGCTGGATTCATCAGAACTGAAATGTGGTCGCCATAAGGTTGAGGTTCATTAACCGGCCACATCTTTTAAACCCAGTACCATGTTCTTTCATTTATAAAAGTCTTAACAAGTGGTTGTCAGTTGCCAACCTTTACTTTTTAATAGCTCAAGTGGGGCCTTCCCAGGTGTGAAGGCATCGACCTTCCTCACCCACATTCTATTTTTAAAATAATGACTTGCAATATTGCTGCAAAGCTTTCATAAACAGTCCTCCCACATGTTCCACACACCAACCCTGTGCAGGAAATGGGGCAGTTGTATCCAATTTAAGATGAGGCGTTGAGGCTCAAAGAAGCTAATTTATTGCCCAAACTCAGCTAAAATTTGAGGTGCAACAAACCCAATTTTTTCCAAATCACAGCTCTTTTTCCTAGAACACTACTCTGTGAAAAGGCTTGTCATCTCTGATTAGCTTATGAATATGTGATGCTCTAAGAACTGTTAGGTGCTATATAAATACAGGGTACTTCGTGGTCACAAGCAATCGGTGGTCTACAGTCAGTCTTACTAAGAGTACAAGTACTGTCACGTGATGAAACAGTCCCTTCGATTTCTTTGTATCCAGGCTTCCATAGTTCCACAGTCCTGGTCTTCCTTCTCCCTTCTCTGTCCGCTTTCCTGGATCTCCCCCTGACACCCAAGCACTCAGGCCTGGGTGCTTCCTCTCTATTTTCTCTCATTATCTCATCCAGTATGATGGCTTCAGATTCCACCTCTAGATGGATAACACCCAGAATTATTACCTCCAGCTGTGAACATTCCTCTGACCTCTCACTGGATTCAAGGTCAAATGACGTGGGACACCTTTTGTACGTCTAACAGACATGACGTAACTGGTGATCTGCAGCCCCCTCCCCCCATTTCTGCCATGGTCAACTGCATCTCAGGATTAAGGCACCACCAAGAAACTGAATTGATAACTTTCATTTCTCCCTCCCTTCTCAGCAGGTTCTGTCAATTCTCCAGGATAATTCTAAAATAATCCTGAATACTAGTCCCCTGGTGCTTCGTGCAGGCTGTCTTCCTCTTCCCTGTCAATAGCTCCGACAGCCTTCTAGCTGCCCTTCTTGCCTCCCTACAATCCATTCTCCATTCTTCAGCAAGAGTGACTTTTTCTTTCGAGAGCGATCATAAAGCATAGATCCTACCATTCCCCTGCTTCAAACCCTTCAGTGGTCTTTCTTTGCACTTGAAATAAAATCTAGTCTCTCTACCCTGTCTCCTTGCACTTCCTCCTCCCCCACGAGCTGCAGCTTCGCTGATGGGCAGGTCCTCAAACACACCACCTCAGTGTGTTTCCTCAAAAACATACCTCTTGCCACGTCAGGGCCTTCTCCTGTGCTGTTCCTCGGCCTAGAACGTTCCCGCCCCATTTGGAAGACGAGTTCCTTCACGTCTCAGCTCAGCTCATCTCCTTAGAGAGGTGTTCTTCAACCACCCCGTGTAAAGTGGATTTTTTCCCCATCCTGCCCCCAATTGTTCTCCACCCCAGTACCTGTTTCCCTCATTGCACTTTATCACAGCATGCATTTTTGTTTTTGACATTTGGCTTCCTAAACCAGTTTTTGGCATGTAATAGATTCTCAATCAATATTTGTTGACCAAATTAATATTTTACTTCTGAAGACTTGAAACACTTTTGCAAAAACTTCTGTTCCTCCTTTCTCCTACCTGTGGTTCCCAGGAGTCATCTTGAAGAGACCAGACCTCCAACTTTAAAGTTTTCTGCTTCTGCTGTCCTCAGCAGGACTCATAACCCCGCCGAGAGGTGAGAGCATGTAGGAAGGCGGAGGGACACCCAAGAGAATGTCAGGAGTGGACCTCTAGATGTTCCATCCTGCCCACATATGGATTCACCTAAATGTAAATATTTCATTATGATATAGAAAATGTAATATTTCCTTAAAATGGAAATATTGATTTCTCTTTGGACAAGGAATAGATGAGACCTAGAAGATGAATGAGTGTCAAGGGGGTTATCGGGATCCTGTGATGGGAAGGTCTAGCTAGGGGCCACTGTGACCCGAGAGTCCCTTTCCGAAGAGCCTGTGTCTGGCTCCCCTCACACCCAAATCTGTGTCACTATGAGGACCCGATTTCTCTCGGGCCAATGTGACTGTCCTGGAGCAGACCCTGTGCAGTCCCAGAAAGGCAGGCCCAGCCATAGGGGCCCAGGCCACAAGTTCTTCCTCCGGCACAAAAACAGGGAAGCCTGGCAAAGGTTACAAGATGCCTCTTGGGTGGCTTTACAGCTGCTGAGCCTCTGGACATTATCCTCCCTCCATCAAGAACTTCCCCTTTCATTCTGTGAAAACCACAACCAAAGTAGAGGAATGGGCCCTTTTTCTTATTTTTCCAACAGGCCTTTATCACACTCTTTTTGCTTTCTTCAGGTGGTTTTGGTTTCTGGTCCTTCCCTGCTGGCATCTCCATCAGCATCTCTTTTTCGGTTCTGTATGGCTTACTGGTCCTGGTTCTAGAAGCCATCTCTGCCTCTTGGTGCCTGCTGCTGTTTTCTCCTCAAGAATGAGATCACACAGTCATGGCGACTGGCTTAGCTCATGGGTAGGAGAACTCCACACCTGAGCTCACCTGGCTGCCTCATTCTCCCATTCTAGAGCAAACACATTTGCGAATACTTTCTGGTGTGACTGAAAACTAGCCCGTGTTGCTTTGACTAGAATCACAATGAAAGGAGCTTCCCCAAGTTCCAGTCCCCTAAAGAGTGTCTCCTCCCTCTTTTTCTCAAAATTGTAGTCAAATTCTTGTCCAAATTTACCACAATTTAGTGAATTTTTCTGAGTAGTGTCAGCTCTGCTAAAATTCTAAAGAGCCCTGGCTCCCTGAGGAAATGGAGGAGCCCAAAGCAGAGGCCTCTGTATAAGGACTCAGGACCCCCATTCCCCACTTCTACCAAATGAGTCACTCTCCACAGTTTCCAGAGAGCAGCACCTATAGGTTGGCCCAAGCCCGGGGATTCCATCGAAAGAGGATGCAGGAGAAGGTAAGGAAATGCAGATGTCCCAGAAAGGGGATTCACTGAGAAGCTGTGCAAACTCTCCTGTAACACAGCTCTCCCGGGCACTTTTCTGTGGTTAGAAAATAAATGTATATTTTAAAATTATTTTTTAAGAATCTGACTTTCAGACAAAGCCAAACATTTAATTACAACACAATGCTTACACATTTTTAAATCCTTTTCTGCTTCCATCTTATACAGAAAAAAAAAAAAAAAGTACAGGTGCCTTTGTGCAGAACCATGTGCTCATTTACAACCAGTTCTGGCTGGGAAGCCTGTCTGACCCATTTTGCTGGGAAGCCAAGTACTGGCCTTCTCCAAGGGGCAGCTTTCAATCTTCCCTGTTCATCAGCACACACCTGGGAAGTTTGAGCTTGTTTGGAAGAAGTCAAGCTTTAGTTTCACTGTCCCTTCTCCATGACAAACGAAGTCACAGGCCAGAGCTATTTCAGCCTTCCCTCTGCATTCCCAGTGTCTCTGCCGTCTCCCTGTGGGACCCTACAGCTCCTTCTCACTGGCCTTCTCACTGTCGTCGCTGCTCTGGGCCTGTCGCCTCTGCTGCACCAGCTGTTTGTCCAGTTCCCGGAGCTGCTTCAGAAAGCCCCGGTTGGGTAGGACACAGCGGTTCTTCGCCACTTGTTGAATGGCGTCCACCAGGGTCATGTTCCTATGGATCATCAGGTAGGCCAGGACCAGGGTCGCCGACCGGCTGCGGCCCATGACGCAGTGAACCAGGATCTTATCTGAAATGGAACAGGGAGAAGAGGCAGCAAACTGTACTGGTAGTCATTGCTTTCTTCACCACCATGCACTCTCAGGGGGAAGAAAGCCAACATCCCTTAAGAATATCCTTGATGTAGCAGTAAAAATTAATTTTATCAAATTTCAGCCCTTGGTTACACTTCTTAATATTCTGTGTGCTAAAAAGGGATGTACACAGAAAGCACTTTGGCTGCGTCCCAAAGTACAGTTGTTCTCTCAAGGAAAAGCACATCGGAGATTGAGCTGTAAGCTGAATTAGCCACTGTTTCATGAAACATCATTTTTGCTTGAAAGAATGACTGATAGAAAAACCATGGTAATTCAAACTTGGGTATTTGTCAGAGTTTTTCTCAAAAGTGAAAAAAGGTAGCTTGTTACATCAAAGAAAACCACTGACCGTATTTGCTGCCAGTGATAAAATGCAAACTTTCAAGCAAAAATTAGAATTTTGGAAAACTTGTATCTATCACCATGAGGTGGACAGTTTCCCAATACTTTTAAGATTTTCTGTTAAGATTGGTGGTGATATTTACAAATGTGTTTTTTTGATACGTACAATGGAAATGGTCAGCATTTGGAGGATCTACATAACTCAGTAAACCAATATTTTCTAAATGACCAACGCGGGATAGTAAAAAATCATGCATGGGTAAAAAATCCATTCAAAGTGCAAGACAGACCAATGAATTTTTATGTGACAGAGTATAAATTTTATTGATATGGCTATAGATTCCACATCACAACCAGCCTTTAAGAAGCCATCACTTGGGGCCGGCCCAGTGGCATAGCGATTAAGTTTGTGCACTCTCCTTCGGCGGCCTGGGGTTCCCTAGTTTGGATGCTGGGAGTCTGGGCATGAACGTACATACTGCTCATCAGGCCATGCTGTGGTGGTATCCCACATAGAAGAACTAGAATGACTTACAACTAGGATATACAACTATGTACTGGCACTTTGGGGAGAAAAAAAAAAAAAAAGAGGAAGATTGGCAACAGATGTTAGCTCAGGGCCAATCTTCCTCACCAAAAAACATACCTTAAACAAACAAAAAAAGAAGCTATCACTTGTCCAGTTTTGGTGTAGTATCAAAGAATATTCACAATTATCTGAAAGGCTATGAAAATATCCCTCCCTTCTCCAACTACATATCTGAGTGTTCCTGGGTTTTCTTAATATACTGTGACCAAAACAATATATCACAGCAGACTCAACGCAGAAGCTGCTGATGAGAATCCAGCTGGATTCTAATAAGCTTAACCTTGAAGAGATTTGCAAAAATGTAAAATGATGCCACTCTTCTCCCTAACTTTATTTTGGAAAATAAAGTTTTCATAAAAATACTATATTATGTTAATAGGCAATGGGTCTATTATTTTTAAATGAATGAATATTTTTACATTTTTCAGTTTTTATCTCTAAAAGGGTATTGATAGATATAACTTACATAAACAAAAGCTCTTTGAGGTCTTCAATAATTCTTAAGAGTGTAAAAGTTTTCTGAGACCAAAAAGTTTGAGAACAAGAGATCTAGAAGAATCTCCAGAGGAAAAAAAAACTTCCTTTGGCCACTACCGTGGGGACACCTGGGCCCAGATGAGACGTCGTTATGCGATGGAGTTTCCCTGATCCTTCTGTCCTGCATTTGGTGGCGTTCTAGAGCGCACACAGTGCATCAACGCACTTCATCTCATTTCATCCTTAATACAACCTTAAGGGTTTCATTATCATCATCCCTGCTTTACAGATGGCAAAAAGGTTCAGAGAGGTGAAATGACTTGCCAGAGGTCACCCTGAAAGCTGGTGCCATCACTAGAAATAGTTGAAAGCAACTTGTTATTGAGGCTCTACTCTGGCCACTGGCCACTGTGCTCTGGGGACAGAGAAAGTAAGAGATTAGCCTCTCTACCTGTTCCCACCACTGCCATCCCAGTGACCACCCTCTCCTGTGGTTCTGGGATCCCTCCACTGGGGTTGAGCTGGTTGGGACAGCTTGAGCTGTGTGACTCCAATGCTGTCCCTGTTCCTGAGTCTTAGGCCTGAGGCCTGGAAGGATGACCAAGGAGACACTCATGGACATCACTGGGTTTATGGAGCAGAGTATGAGAACAGCTTGGAAAAAACAGCTTGGAACAGCTTCTGAATGGATGTGACTCCCCTGTGTCCCTCTCACCTCTGCCCCCTCATCTTCCTCACAGGACATGCCCAGGACAGTGGTGATGGTCAGCAGCAGAGGCAGCACGAGAAATCAAGAGGCCGCGAACCCCAGGCACCAGGATTCTCTCTCTCCACCCTGGCCTGGCTGGAGAGGCCTGCGCACCCTGCCCAATCGTAAAGATCCACTAAAGCCCTCGCCACACGCACTGTGCTGGCGCAGAGAGGTGCCCCATAAGGAACGATTAATTTTGTCACAATTCATTCTCACGAATCTCCACAGGCTAACCAGGCGGCCCTTCAATCCCCTCTGCATGTTGCTGAGTTACAAGAGTGTGGCTGCACCACCTCTGCCTTGTGCACCTTGGCCAGAAAGGAGGGCAGGCAGCAGGGCCAGCTTCTTTATTGTGAGTCAGGTTTGGAGGAGGCTAGCCCCAGCTATCACCCGGCAGGACCGTGCTTCTGGAGTGGAATGTCTACCTCTGTCTGGCATTCTAATCCCCACAGACTGTTCCAGAGGCTGCTGGCAGCCTGCCAGCTCTGCTGATAACTAAAAGCGTTTCTTCCTCTCCTGGCAAAAAGGGTAATTCTTTCTGTCATGACTAAATGTTTGAAACAAATGAAACCTGTAGTTCATTAAGACTTTTGGGAGCCTGAAGTCTGTTAAGTGGGAGGATGGGGAAGTGAGAGGGAAGCGAAAGAGAGAGAGACGGGGTGGGAGAGAAAGGGGGAAAGTAGTGGGAAGTGGTCAGCTCCAGCAGGAGCTGCCGAAGCTAAATTTTGTTTATATGACGGCCGCATTAACGAGCCATGTGCTCTTGCTGGGTCTCCCTAGGGTGAAGGGCATGTCCCCAGACTCTCAGGGCGCTTCTCCCTCTTTGCTCTGTGGCTCTGCTGAGCAGCACCCTTTGGGGCCCAGCATCAGGTGGTGAGAAACTGCTCTTAGGAGAGTTGAGAAGAAAAAGCAAGGAAGGCTGCATTTGGCCGGTTCCCAGCATGTCTCACACCAGAGAAACTAGGAGGCCCTCTGCGAGTTAAACACGGGCCAAGGCCAGGGCCCTGAGTGAAGACAGCATTGTCAGGGTTGGAACTTTCTGGATCAGTGGCTTCCAAACTTTTTTGTGTGATCCCAAAAAACACAACATAAAATTCACAGCTAACACGTACGTAGCCTCATCTCACCCCCATATCTTCCGAGTATGTTTTTACATATTTTATCATAGGCAATCCTCACAATGCCCCAAAGAGGTAGACAAAATTATTATCCCCATTTTGCAGAGGAGGTAGCTAAAGTGCAGAAAGGTGACTTGTCCTGTCCAAGTAGCACAGCTAGGAAGTGGCAGAACTGTGACTCAAGCCCAGGCCACCTGACACCAGAGTTGGAGCTCTGAAATGCTCTGTGGTATCACAAGTGTGCGTGTGTCAGACAAAAATTTCACAAAATACTATGTACTTTTATGATGTGCATGCATGCTGATGTCTTCTATTCTTTCCCAATATATTCAATTAAAAAAAATTTTCTTAAAGAAATACTGGTCACATCCACTAAATTGATTTTATGAGCCAATCATAGGCCACAATCAATCTTGGACAAATGGTGATTTCGGTTAAATATTTCCCCTTTGGCCTTTACCAAAAAGTGAATTCCCATAATCTGATGAAGAAAACCCAAATCCGGAATCTCTACTGCACCTCAATGGCATATTTTCACTGGTGACAAGAAGGTAGACCTCTGTCACTCAAATCAGACATACAGGCCAAGCCTATTATCCCAGCCCCACCCCTAGGCCCCGCCAGGTGTGTGCTGTCTAAGCAGTGCCTTCGTTGCTTTTGGGGGATGCCCTTTGCCCGTCTCTCACTCACTACCTTGGAACTTGCCTTCCTCAGCAGCACTCAAAGGCAGAGTTCATACTCCTCCCAATACAGTTCTGGGCATGTGGAAGTCCTCAGAAAAAGGGTGCATGGTATGTTTTGAACTGCCAGGGGACAGACCTTTGTGTGCTGCAGTGGGGCAGGAGACCCTTAAAATACCCTGAAAATCTGGTCTGGTTAAAGCTTAGAAGCACCAGAGAATCAACCTCCTGCTCAAAAGCAGACTTCATTTATTTATTCCTACCTACCTTGTCCATAATAGATTTTAAGATGGCTTCAAAAGCAGGCTATGGACTGTTTGAGAAAAAGAATGAAAGGAGGGTGGTGATGCTAAAATCTGATCTTTAGAGCCTCATGGAATCTGCCTGGGGCTTTCCTAGAAGACTTCATTAAATTAAAACCACACTAATTCGCCTCTGAGTATGCCATGCCAGGAGCAGTTAAGGCTGTCCAAATGGGGTTCCCATAGCAGTAGTTTGTAAGTACTTCTTTTTCTGATGAAGAACGACAAATTCAGTTGTTTCAGATCCTATAACCAGCTGGAATGCCTCACCTTCCATGATATTTGGTGACCTCTTATACAGCAAAGTCACCAGATGCTCAAAATAAGGGCAAAGGACTCTTCTGTGAGGCCTGAGTGACAGAAGGAACTCCCACTGGCCTCTGATTAGCTCTGTGACCCTGGGCACTTCACTTGCCTTCTCTGGGCCTCTATTTCCCCAGCTCTCAGGGCAGGACACTGGACTAGATTATCTCTAACATTTCTCAAGAGTGACAGAGGTTGCCTGGGGAGTCATTTCCAAAGGGTCAAATCAGGGTAGGGTACGGGTAGGTGTGGGCCCTATGGGGCTGATTGCAGGCCATGAATACAGCTCTACAGTAGCACAAGGAATGCTTTTCAAAAAGAGTGAACAAGACTGGCTGTGAGAGGCAGTGGTGGGAAGCAGTGTACACTTGGCTAAAACTAGCCAAAGAAGAACAGGAAGGACAGGAGAGAGGAAAGAGAGATGCCTTGCCTACAGGCCAGCCTGTCCATCAACACCTCTTACGTCAAGAGTATAATAAGAAACATACGAGTGGACTTGGCTGTAAATTGGCACATTAGTGTCCCTTGGTTTTCCACTGCATGACTAGACACAACCAGGCTGCCTACTGTGTGTGGCATGCAGGCTGAGCACAGGCCGTCTCCACTGTATGGTGTCTATGACAACGCCCTTGCTGAACTAATGAACTACCCTCACCACTCAGGGCACAGGTTACAAACTGACAGCCTTTGGATTTCTTTTGTTTGGGCTTTGCAATATTTTAAGAAATTTTCAATTTGTTGCCAACACTTAAAAATTGAGCAATTCTACATTAAAAGCCAGATTAGAGACTTCTCCTGAAAAGTCAGATCTATCACATTTGCACTGATTCTCACAGGACCAATGTCGACTGGGACTGAGTAGCAGCTGCCCACTTAGGAGGAGATATGGGGCTCTCTGTTTAGCCACAGGCCCCACCCTCCCATCCTCCACTGCCTTACACACAGTCAGCTTCATTCCTTTACGCACTCTGCCTGGTCCTGAAGGGTTGGCATTTGATTTGAGCCTGGACTTGAGGAAACATTTAGACGTGCAAGTGCCAAGAGCACTGAGAAGGGAACCCAGCCTTCCACCTGGCAATGTGGTCATGTCCTGCTCCCCATCTCCAGCCAACTGGTCTAGTACCACACCCCTGCCCACCCATTCTATCCACTACATGTTCTCTGTGCATGTATATTTTTCCCTGTGTATATCCTTTTCCCTCTCGACCCTTTCTTTGCTGGGTGATTTCAACCACTCAGTCTACCAGTCACAATCTACACCAGCCTGACAGCTCCACATCGATGCTCTGTGATCTGACCAGACTTCAACATATGACTTTAGAGACCCATTCTTTCCTGATTCAGCAGTGGGGGCAGACTCTAAAAGGGCGTGCCGGGAATTGAAAACAAGCTGTCCTGTGAGTATATCATACTAGTTCAAAGTTGGAATGTCTTTTTCCCTTTTTTTTCCCTTTGGGGATTAGAAACTTTATTATTATGATGTGCATGTGCTGGTGTGGTTATGTGTTTTACGGTGCATGACCTCTCTTTATCAAACACATCTGAGAGACTGCTGTGCACCAGGTCCTATGCCAAATGCTTTATGTGGGTACTGCTGATCCTCATTATAACCTTTCAAGGTCAATATTTTCATCACCAGATGGAGAAACGAAGGCTCAGAGAAATCACATTGTTAGTGAGGTGTGCAGCATGAATTTCAACCCAGCCTGTCTTCTCCAAAGCCTGCCAGACCCCTTCCATTAAGGTGAGGGTCGAAGATATAGTAATGGCAAGTGAGCACATTAAACAGAATCTGAAGGATTGGGTGGTTGTAGCTTTTTGTTTTTTCATACCAAATATGTTTTCAGTTAACCTCAAATACTTTGAGGTGAATTTCACCTCATGGTAATGAGTCAGAGTCCAGTTGCTTTTTGATCCTGCTTGGAAACTCAAAATGTGCATAACACGAAAGATGGTCCATAAATAGACTCATAAAAGGATGACTTTGAAATGAGGCATCCCCTAATACAAGCACTTGAGCTCCATGGGCTTTTTTTCATCATGACATTGCTTTCTGGACCAAAATAATGACAAATTGTTGATGCCTATGGCTGGCTATGGGGCCAGGGCCACCCTGGGACAGCCATCAAGGTCTGGGACTGTTCAGCAGACATGGCCTAGGCCCAGGCACATGTTTTAAGTTTCTGAAGCAGGCCAGTCAATGAGCCTTGTAGTCCCAACCTCTTGTGATAAGAAAGACTTTCAGTAACTGGATGCTCTGAATTACATGATGGCCCCATAAAGGGGTGTGACACATGGGACTGAAGTCAGAGAACAGATTAGGGAGCTGAAGTCCCTCTGGCCTCTATGGTATGTCACTGAAATAAACCCTGCAGCAATAACTGCATATTCTCTTACCTGATGCCTACCTAACTGTGCCCTTCTCTCCAAAATAGCCTTGTAGCCTTTCCCTGGATTAGGACAGATAAAACTGCATTTTGAGGGCAAGGACTAGCACTATGATATAAAAGATGGATAATTAACCTTGGGAAACTTGGACATTATGGGTGCAAAACTCAGATTCTCACATATAGTTTGTCACTTATATAGGCGAGGTTGTCAACGTTCTACAAGAGGCCTCACCAGACTGTGACTTGGGGGGAAGGGAGCAGGAAGGGAGGCTGTGGGCTTGGTTGATTGGCAAGAGAATTTGAAGTCTCTCCACAGATTCCCACTCAAGTCAGCTCCCTGAGGGTTTTCTGGCATTGAAGGCTTTGGCTTTTAGTCGGGTTTGTGCCCAGGCACAATTAGTGTCTCAGCCGCATCCCAGCTTTGAGGGCCGCCCAGACTGCCGCTTGGCTGATGTGCCTTAGAGAAGATAGATTCAGTCCACAGGCCTCTCCTCTGAACCCTCCCGACTCTGATTCCCCACAGCGGCAAGCAAGGCCCGAACCCCACCATCAGCACGCTCAGTGCGGCTCACAGCCTCCAGGGGCTCAGACGTTTCCAGTTCAACCACATGCAATTCCCACAGGGCCGGCTTTGAGAGGGGAGCAGACTTTAAGCACTCGGATCTCGCTTCCAGCCTGGGTGAAGGGCGGGGACTCAGGCTGGGGCGCAGCCTCTGACCGGGGGCGGGGCCGCAGGCGGGCGGCGGGTCTCTTACTGTGATCGCTGCCGAGCGCTGCGTGGATGAAAGCGGCCGCCGGGTAGAAGAAGACGCTGAGGTCGAAGGTGGGCAGGTCGTCGGCCTCGACGCCGTGGTACTCGATGGCCATGTCGCGGTAGTATTCGGGCCCCGTGTCCACGTTCCAGCGGCCGTGGGCCGCGTTCAGCACGTGCGTGAAGCCTGCCTTCTGCAGCCCATAGCGGTCCAGCGCCGTAGCCCTGGGCGCAAGGGAGAAGGGCCTGGTGGGCTGGGCGGTGTCTTGGTCTGGATCTGGGGGGAAACTCGGGGGCCGCCTACAGGTTTCTGCTGTCGATTCAGGCTTCTCCAATAAATACTAGTCATTGAAATGAAGGGCTACCCTAGACCAAAGCCCTGCTCCTACTGACATCTTAGCAGCCTGTGCCATTTCATGTTTCTAGCTCCGCCGGTTCTAGAAGGGAGAGGGTTGGAGGCTGGGGGAGGCGAGCTATTCATTGGTCAGTTCATCATTTTTTCATCATTCACCAAATACAGAAGAGCTTGGTGCTGGACACTACAGTGGTCGCAGGAGGGGATCGTCACCTACCAAATCCCCCAAAAGGTGACCAGAATGCAAAGCCAAATGTAAAGGAGAGGACCACCTTCACGGAGCCTCAGGAGACCCTGCAAAGCAGTGCTCTCCTCTGACCGTCGAATGTCTGTAAGAGCGTGGAAGTGGGGGCTTGAATGAATGGTTTAAGACTGAGATTGGCCAAAATTCCTGATACTGATGTTCATGGGGTTTGTGAGCACAATGCCAAACCGTTGCTTTGATAAGTGAGTCATTGCCTAGTTGGGCAAAGCGTTGTTCTGAAAAGGAGAGCTATTTGAGCAGTCTGTTGTTTGAATTGATTTCGGGGAAGTTCCTGAAGCCAACAGTGAAGTTATTTGCTAGTTTATAGCCTTATCTTTCTAGGCAAGAATTTCTAGAAACAAAGAGTAAAGTCATGCTGAAATAGGTGGCCTTGAAATGTGAGACAGAGGTAGACTGTCAAAGGAAGCAGGAGTCATTTCTGCCTAGAGGGGCAGGGGAGACTGCATGGGAGAGGGGCTTCTGAGCCTGCCTTGCTGCGAGTGTTGATGAAAGGGAAGGAGGAGGCAAGGACACGCCAAGCCAAGGAAATGGCACAACCTAAGGGATGGAGGCTGGAGCAAATGAAGGCTTTTCAGGAAATGTTTATTATTTCCTGTAATCAATCATGTATCCCCAAAAAATGATATAGGTTCCATTGCATGCCAGGCACTGTCCTGGGTGCTGATGATGCAGCAGTGAATAGGTTAGTCAAGGTCCCTCAGTAAGCTTAGATTCTAATTGGGGTAGCAACTAAGCAACAAGTAAACAGGATAATTTTAGATAGCAGAATGAGCAGAATGACTGTGATCCTGCTTTAGGCAACATGGTCAGCGAAGGCCACTGCAGGGAGGTGGCATTTAAGCTAAGACTGAGGAATGAGAAGGAGCTAGGGGAAGAGTCTGAGGAGAAGTGTTTCATCCAGGCAGTGGGAATAGTAAGTGCTAAGAACAGAAGGGAAAGTAGTAGCAGTAGCTGTAGTAGTGAGGGAGTGGTGTACAAGGGGACGTGGGAAAGATGGGCCCTGTAGGCCATAGGGAGAGTTTGGATTTTATTTGAAGTGTGGTAGAATGCCACAGAGGATTTTAAGGAAGGAGTGAGCATTGTTTTCTTTTTTGAAGATCAGTGGGGCTGATGTGTGGAGATGGATTGGAGAGGGGCAAAAAATAGAAGCAGGGAGCTCTGTTGGAGGCGATTGCAGTTGTACAGCCAGGAGAGGAGGGGGGCCTGGACTAGAGCAGTGTCACAGCAGACGTGCTGATGTGTTGGGAATGAGGACAGGAGGGAGGGAACTGGTTTGGCCAGAGCATAGGATATGAGATGAGTGTAGAGAAAGGTTTGGAGAGAGAGTGTGGGATTTGATCATGGAAGTGCTTAGATGCCAGAATCTGTTTTGGGGGTCGAGAAGAGCTTTTGATAGTGTTTGAGGAGGGGTGACCCCCTCTGGGTTTTAGGACAACATCTCCCTCAACAGCACAAAGACCAGTTCTACAGCTCAGGGAAGAGATGACAAGGGTCTGGAATCATAACTGAGGGATCATCTCAAGGCCAGTGGTAAAAGGACACGGACGGAAGTGGCCATGTTGGCTACTGTGAATCAACACCCTAGACTGAGAGGAGCCTTGCACCAAAAAAACATGCCATGGCCCCTCAGCCAAGGGCCCCTTGTCTATTGCTGGCTTCCTGGAGCTTTTTTTTTTTTGGCCATAGGAGGAACCACAGTGGAGTCCAGTGTTTGGGAAAGAGAGACCTGAACACAGGCATTGAGCTTTTAGAAACATTTGCAAACGGCCCATTGGAACTGAGGCGTGGGGAGGCGGGGAGTTCTACCAAGCCCCCCAGCTGGCTTTTGGCGCTGTTATCCTAACTATGGGACACATTCTGCTTTCAATTTTTCCTCGGAAAGGTCTGTTTTTCATTTTTCTTCTTGTCCCAAAGTATGTATACAACAAACATTATGCTTTGGGGACATAGATCTGTGCTCAATTAAAGGCTCCTCTAATGCAGTCCATCTTGCTGAGTAGCAATCAACCTCACTTTGAGGTTGAGCTCAATGGAAAAATTAAAATTAACTGTCCTTGACAGGAAGTTCCTACCCAGCATAAAGACTGTTCTCTCTCAGTTCAGCAGCTGGGTTTCACCATAATCAAATGGCAATTTGAATAAATAACAATTTGCGCTTTGCTGCTTTGGGGGTCAAGGATCAGGGTAGATATGCAACAAGACGTTGCATGACTCCTCCACATTCACCCCACAGAGCTGGTTTTGGCTATGTCTGAGGGAGAGAAAGGGCTCATGGAGAAGATTAGACCTGATGGGTATCTGAGGCCCACTGCAGGTTTTGGGGGGCTCTGTGGTGACCTGGCCTGGGAAGGGGAGGTGGTGTCCTCACACACCACTCTGGAGATCTCCCCCTAGCTTGGTTTACTCAGAGTCCAGTTGAGGGCTCAGAAGGGTATCCATGATAGAATAGGGACCTGCAAATAAACAGGTGACTCTTAGTACTCTTAGCCTACAGGGGCTGTGATGAAGCAGATCCCCAGTTGGTCTAGACACCTGGGTCAGCCATAACTGGGTGTGGGGTGGAGCCGGAGGGTAGTGTCTGGCACTGTATTGTTTTGTTTTGTTTTTTAATTTCAGGGCCACCTGCTCAGATATCTGAGAAAGAGACAGAAATCTGCCTCTGCTGAAGGAGAACAGCTCAGAAGAAAAACAGATACAGGAATTTACTTCTAGCAAGATCCTTAGTTTCTGGTTGTTTTAAGAAAAATCCTAGATGTAAGCAATCTGTTCATTTTTAAAATAACATGCCACTTAATTTCAAAAATAGCACATGCTCAATGCAGAATGTGGAAAACATATCTCCTCCCACACACGCACACAGAACCACCTGTATTTCTACCCCTAGAGACAAAGACTATTTGCTTTTTAATATACTAAGATCCTCCATTTGTTTTTCCATGCATAGATCTGTATGTTTTATATACATTTTGGGGGTGGGTGTAATACTATATATATATACAGTTTTAAAAACTTTGACAAGGTGATATGTTGTAAACATCTTCCTATGTCAACACACAGCCATCAATAGCTGCATGCTATTCTATTCTATACGTAAATCTCAATTTTACCTCACCAAGCCCCCAGTTTTGGACATTTGTGTTTCTCTCTCTCTCTGTGTCTCTTTCTCATGGAGGGAGAGTGGCAGGTGTTATAAGAAACACTGTAAACAAACAGCTTCACTGTGTTTCTTTGGGCACATCTCTATGTCCTGGAGAGATTTTTAAAAATGGAATTGCTGCGTCAATGAGCATGAGCATTTTTAACACAGTGATACTCATTACTAAATTATCCTCCAGAAAACTTGCTCAAATTTACATTCTGACTTTTATTCTTTGCTAATTTCATAGGCAAAAAAAGTGTCTTGTTTTTCATTACTTTGTTATAGCAATGAGGTTGGACATTTTCTCACAAATTTGTTGCCCTTGTGCAGTTTGCTTTTGAAGGACATTTTCGTATCCCTGTTTTTGACCAAGTTCTCCTTAGCTCTTCTTCGCTGTGGACCTCTTGCCTAGCTCTGGATTCTGACTCCAGGCTGGAGGGCCAAGGATGTGACGTTCTTCTCACATAGCCCAATTTCCTCAGGCAGAGACTTCTCCTCCCTTCCACTTTTTCTGGCCTGGGCCAGCTTCCTTCCAGCCCCTCTGGAGTTCCTCCAGGAAGCTTGCTTCAACCCCTCAACCCTTGAGGAATGGCAAATAAGAGCACTTTCTGTGAGGCAGCATTCCTAACATTCCCCTTTTTCAGACCCCTTGGTGCCCTCCTGATTCCCAGTGTATACACCTCAGCATCTACCCGAAAGCCCATTTTCTCCAGGTGTATGCTTTTGCACAGAGGGGAGGAGCGATGTGTGTGTATATGTTTGTACAAGCCCTTCACCAGCTTCCTTGCAGTGGGAAACCAGCTGTTCCCCTGTTGCTGGGATTCTGCATTGGGCATTGAAGGAGACCCACTAATGATCAGATGGTTCTCATACCCCCCTGTCTGTGAGGACCTGCTGATTTCCTGCACCGAATTGTGGACTCCTGTTCACCAAGGACTAAATCCTGTAATCTGGCGCCTTATTTATTCTGATGCTTTAGACACTGTTGTGGTCTCACATCATTTCATGGACATGACCCTGATGGTGACCTTTTCCTCCTTTGGAGTCTTGCCCACACCTACTCCTTGCAGGTGGATTTTAAAAGAGCAGGCGCATTTCTAGCTTTTCATTTCAGTCAATTCACCTGTCAAAAATGAGATTCACTGGCTTCCTAGTTTCGTGGCTGTTCTTAATGCTTGCTGATGAAGCTGTCCGGGTTCGAGGCTCCTAGAAGACACCGAGCTGACAGGTGGAGTTTATAAGCTTGAACGGCTGCGTGAACTAAAACAACTGAACCTCTGGGACCCTCAGTTTTCTTTGTTTGTTAAATAGAACCACTTCCAGTGGCAGTACTTTCCTTACAATATTCTTGTAAAGTTGAATTATGCAATATTCAAGTTCCTTTGAAAGGTTAAAAGACAAATTCCGGGGGGAAAAAGCAATAGAAAGATGTATGCCAAAATGTTATCAGTGGTTATCTCTGGGTA